TTGTTAAGTCTCAATCTTCGTCGGTTAGACTTTACGAGAAAATAATGTCACGTTAGATAACGCGCCGGTTCTTGGGCCTTAGTGTTGTGCGCCCAGCTGATCCAGTAAAACGAACAAGATTCTCATTTGATGCAAGTGGAAATTTAATACTGTCTTTTGGAAAATATACAGAGGTTTCTTCTACATAGTAACTGTCAGTCCAAAATGTATAATGATATCGCCAGAGCCAAAATACGATATGATTTCACCTTAAAACAGGGCAGCCTTTATAGATCATTCAGGAATTTTAATAACCAGGAAGAAATAACACTTGACTGAGCGCAGTCCTTTTGTCTCAGGCTTTGCCCCAACTCAGTCACCGTGTTTCCTGGATCACCATTATCCGCCCTAGCCTTCAAAGGCATTTCTAAATTTTATCTCGTGCCATGTGCCCCGGTCACGATCATTCCCGAATGTCTATTGACTGCCCCCTGCTAAGCTTATCTTAGGATATGAATATTATTTTAATTAATTATTTATATCAATCATAAAATACCCAAAGTGGTATTTTACAGACTGACCGAAAGTCATATGTGGAGATTTTAAATATGCCCTTGGATTTGACATTTGACCTTTATTCCAAGGTCAAACGGGCCAAAATTTTCTAAAAATGGGCTTTTTTTACAAAAAAAAATCATTTCTTCTGATTTTCAGAAACTACACAGACCTAACCTATAATATGATGGACAGGCGTTATCCTTCACACAAACCCCCCCCCTGTTCTTACCTTCTGACACCAAAAATTAAAACCTTAATACACTGCCAACTGCTCCGCCCAATAAGACTGAGAATGGTCTCTTGATGACTGAGCCCTGTCAAGTTGAAAATGTGGTTGCTGTATGGGCCACTCTAGCCAACATTGCACCTGGTGAGAAAGCATAATTTCATGAGTGATAAAAAGTTAAATGTACATTTCTGTGCCTGAATTTGTTTCAATTGTTTTGAAATTTGGACACCTTATGCTGGACAGGTGTGAAAATCTGAGATAAGCATCTTAACTGGTTGTGCCTATTTTAAGTGCACTTTGTTGAGAAATAAAGTGCGAAAAGTGGAAAATTACTAATAAAAATATTTCAAAATATATAAAAATTACTTAAACTCAAGTGCAAGGTTAATTGTCACAACCGTTGTTTATGTTTGTTTGTGTTTGTTGTGAGGATACAGGAAATGAGCTTCTTGTCCCTCCCTGCAGAACAATACTCACTGCTAAGCTGTATACCCCCCTCCTGCACTGGGGCCATGCAGTTTGCTGTTTACAGGAAACTCCACTTCCAGTCACTGTTCATACCTTTTGTTGTCATGTATCCTGCTTTCCTGCACACCTGGGAGCGACAATGGGCAGCTGATGCTATAAAATGCCCTGTCTCTGCCTCTGGACTCAGAAGTCACTTTCTATCCACCATGCCGTACGGTAAAGGTAGCTGGAAAAAACGAAGAAAAAGTGTATTTGTGAAGGGAAACAAGTTTTCCACTGGACGTCAGCAGTCTGACCAGCCTCCAGAGCCTATTGTGAGAAGATACATCAGACCCAGCCAAGAATTGTACCAGGCAGCCTCCTCTCCACCCCCTGTCGGGCCACCAACAACCTTCAGCAGCAACCCTGATGCACCCGTCATCCTCAGACCTAGGAGGGCCCAGTCAGAGAGTTTGTCCAGCAGCCAGCCCCAACCCCCAGATGATGAATACAAGTTGGTTTCACCAGAAAAAATTGTCAATCTGGTCAACAAAGTCTTGTCAGAGCATACAGCTGAGTGCACTGGCTCAATGGTTTGGGACAGGGAGGCAGAGAGCAAGTGGGGAGTGGCTTGGTCAGTGGGACTAAAATGTGACACGTGTCAGTACAGGACAGGGAAACAGAAATTGTACAATGAAGTCGAGAGCAAGCAGCGTGGCAGGAGAGCAGCAACGGTGAATGCAGGCTTGCAAGTAGGCCTGTCACAAAACATGATCTCCAACACGGCAATGAGGCAGATTCTAATGGCGACCAATGTGACCCCGCCCAGTGCATGATCCATGCAAAAGCAAGCAAATAAAGTCGGTGCTGCTATAACCAAGCTAAACAAAGCTGACATGCAAAAGCGCCGTGAGAATCTACGCCGCATTCAAGATCTGAGAGGGTGTGAAGGACAGCCCATAGCAGTGGAAGGAGATGGCAGATATAATAACAGTCTGTTCAGTGGAGGGAACAAAACACTATACCAGCCAGCCACTCAGACTGTATACACCGTTGCAGAAAATGTAACCAGCAAAAAAGACATCATTGGTGTTTACACCGGAAACAAGTTATGCCACACAGCTCACCTGCTCAAAAGTAGAGGGGAAGATGTATCCTGTCCAGAGCACAGTGGTATCTGCACGGCGAATCTACGGGAAGACGACAGTATTGGAGACGAGAAACGTGCCATGCAGCAGATCCTCGAGGAAATTTCTGGAGAGGTCACAGTTGGTGCCTTGACCACTGATGGTGATAGCCGAGCCCACTCTGCATGTGATGATGTCGAAAGTCTTCGGGACACGCGCCACTACAGTAAAGCTCTGAAAAAGCAAATTGAAAAAGCTCCATTTTCCGGTCAAGTTTTTCCAGGGAAAACAAAGTAGAGACAAAATGCAGACAAAATGCAGAAACGCTTTGCTCAGTGCATAGCAATGCGCTGCTATGCTGAATTCGATGCCTGCTATAAAGCAAATAAAGGGGACATACAATTGATTAAAAGAGCACTTGAGTTATGTCACTGACTCTATAATTAGTTGTTACAGCGGTGATTGTGAAAATTGCTTAAAGTATTCTTATGTATGCAAAGGTGGCACGGAAACTATTTTCCCTGAGAAAGGCAAACTAGACTTTAGCAACTCTGAAGATGTGCACATCTTAAGACAGTGCCTAAATTATAGACTGGGCCCAAGGGCCATTGAATCAACAAAACTTAATACCAACACACAAAAAGTGGAGTCTTTAAATCGGACATTTCAGAAAACTAATAATAAAGTTGTCACCTTTTCACGGAACTTCGAAGGCAGGATTCACAGTGCAGTTCACTTGAGGAATAATGGACTTAAGCAATCCACTTTGTGTAAGATGGCCTCTGTTGGTGTTAGGCCCACTTCTTCAGTTGTTAAATATCTGGAGAAAGATGAAAAACAGATGAAAATGAGAGTAAATCACAAAAAGACAGTTGCATTTAAGTTAAGAGCTAGACAGAGAATCCTTAGCCGTTACAGAAGATATGACAGATCTAAAGCATTGAAAAGTAATAATGACTACAGAAGATGCATATCTATGCCAAAACTTGTATTTCCTGATCATAGCTATTCAAAGAGAGCATGTAACTAAAGAAAATGTATGATTTCAAGATACTACTCTGTAATAAACTGGTTGTGAAATATGAAAAAAGTTTGTTGGTCTTCCTTCTAGTCTTAAAACGTAGAAATATAATTGAGAAATCTATGAATTAAGTAAATGTAAATTTAATAATAATAATAATAATAATAATAATAATAACAATAATAATAATAATAATGTTAATAATTGTCATGTACACAATTTGGCCCCTGTCCATGTCCGAGGCACCTGCCCACATTACGACAATGTAATCTGTTATTGTTGATTCCGTGAGGCTCTGCTGTGAGATGATCGGGTTTACAGCACAGAGTGACTCCACACTGGTGAGATACTTCTGTCCCTCTCGGAATGTGTAAAACCCTCTCCTTAAGCATAAATGCCACCCTGTGCACTCCAACAGTAACAGAGCGTCTGGCCCCAGGAAAAGTAACCCTCATCATTCCATATAACGGACCCCACTGGAACAACTGGTGCCCCCAGTCCACAGCCAACAGTATTCCTCCTGTGTGTTATGCAATTTTGCATGTAATTAATCTCTCAGTTCTTCAAGAAATTGCCGATTAGCCATTTTTGTGTGTGAAATGATGCAAGACCACCATTTTATGCCCTGTGCTGCTCTAAATTTAGAAACTAAGCCACAAGTGAACAGTTGTCACTTTTCCTGTTCAGGGCAGAAACCACCAAATGAATTCCCATTGACGACCATACTAAGAAATGCCTGCAAAACTGCATGAAGAAAATTACTCTGTGAAACATTTCCTATTCCCATGGACAGCAGACACACTGACATAACTCCCAATGGCAAAAAAATGTACTGTCATCAGACTTTCTTGCTTACCGGCATCACTTGAACACGTGCACCCCTCTGTTTGTAAACAAACCACTGCACCACTCACAGTCAGTAGCCCCCTCCGCCAGAGGTCTCACGACTGCACCGCACCTGAGCCTGGTCCTGAAAAAAAAAACTGGCAGTAGTATACACCCTAGCCTGCTAGTTGATACCAAAATTAACCCTAGCAACACACAAGAAATGCCAGGAAAAAAATGGAAAAAAGCACTCATTTTTTCTCACTGATCTATATTCGCCTATAACAGGTGCTGATAGGCTGATTTGGAGGTCTATAACAGGTGCTGATAGGCTGATTTGGAGGTTTCTGCCCTTCAGGTTATCTTTCGTATTCTTGAGTTTGGGGCCAATCGCTGCATTTTCACGGGAGTAGCGGCCATACGATCCCGAAACTGAAAACTGTCTCTAATTCAGGAACTGTAAATGCTAAAGACCTCTTGTTTTTTTTTGCATTTTGTAGAGCATGTCAAGCCTAACACTGAAAGTGGTGTCCGTTTTTTTTCCAACGTCTAGAAAAGATAGCATAAATTTTAGCGAGGCAGACAACTTCTGGTCAAAAAATGACATTATTTCATTAAATCCGAACATGTGGAATTTCTGAGCACCTCCCATTTCATAAATATCAACCAAAATGACATTTTCTTTATTTCAGTTGAGTTCTTCTTTACTAAAATTACTGTAACTCCAAAATTGCAACATTTTAGTCCCTTATATCTCCAAAGCTGACAGAGACAAGGCCATAGTTATTATTGAACTCAAATAGGAAGTCATATACTGGCAATCTAAACGTGACCTTGAAATTGACCTTTGGCCTACTTTTCACCGTGAACTGAACTTTGCAAAGTTTCTATCACTTAATTATATCTCCAAAACTGGCAGTGATATAGGCCTACCCATAGTTACTACTGAAATTGAATAGGAAGATATATACTAGCAATCCAACTGTCAACTTAAAATTGACCTTTGACCTACTTTTCACCATGATCTGAACTTTACAAGGTTTCCATCTCTTTTATCTCCAAAACTCGCAGTAATACGCCCATTCTTACAAGAATTAAGGTCAATTTGAAACTTTCCACCAAACGTGGCGCCAATTTTGAAAATTCTTCATTCCGATTCATTCTGCTTGATTACTGCTGATTCCGAATAAGTGTGAGGGGGCCTTTACAGTGCCTTCTGGTTTCAGTGTATTTCTTATTGATGCATTCATGGTGGTGGTGAGATACTCTTAAACTACACAACTGAAACTAAGTACATTTTTAGTGTCAAGAGGTTAGAGGTTGTTAGAGGTTGATGCCACCTGACAAAGTTTTACCTGTTCCGAAGAAAAGGAAAATTAGACTGGGTTTCCATGCCTAGATAGCTCCATCTGGATCGGTGTAACTCATTGGGGAGTCTCACTAAATTGCTATCAACCAAACAGTCTTAAATGTCTGTCACGCCTACCGAGTCAGCTAGGGGTAAATAGTATTACCCCCTAACAGCTTTATTATGCGTGACAGACATTTAAGCTGGTTTAGTTGGTAGCAATTTAGTGAGACTCCCCCGGGAGATAGATCGATCCAAATATCTGTGGGAATGGTCCCTTATACACTATAACATTAGTTTGTACACGTCCATGAAGGTATTTTCAGCATTGTTTTTAATACCAAACTGTTATCCACGAATTCATTATGTACATAATGGTCATTATTTGCATTTATCTTAGACTCGAAGCGTATATTTGTTTTAAATAACATATTTTTAAAGATATCACCCTACCAATATCACCATTGTCTTAAATATGCTAATATTTGAACTCTGCAACCCCCAAAACATATGGAAAGACATATTACCCATAATTTTTATGCACTTTACTGTGAAATTATGGCCAAAAAAGCCATTCCCCCCTTCCTTTTTTTACAAACAAATAGCAGAAACCAATATAAATCTTTAGCTTTGGTAAAAAATATTGTCGGATTTGTGTTCAGCAGCCAAAACGGCCACAGAATCCACCTGTTTTTAAAAAAATTTGTCATTTGCCTACCCCTATTATCAGAGGTCGCCTTCTCTCTCCATGAAGCTTAGAGTATATCCTGAAAATTCCCCGCGCTTAATTTAGACTAGGTGACGTGGCGCACCGGTATATTTGTTTACCATCTCATCATTTTGAATTACAAGCACTCCCGATCATAATCCAACTCGACGGTAATGTTAAAATCATATCTGAAAAAAAAAATAAAACAACAGACTTTCTTTCCTCAGTGTGGGTACTTGGATCCTACCTGCGGCCTTAATGCACATGCATTTCGCTTGAGTATCTAGCAAGGAATAAACACGCTCGGCTGTCACCTTGATTGGTTAGAAATCGATTGTTGTAAAATCTCTACATGATTAAAAAAAAGGTGCCTAACCCTTAAAAAAAACACAGAAAACGACTTTACAGTGTCAGAGTAGTCTATCCTTAAGAAAAAACTCGAAATCGGTTTAAGTATTCAAAACAAATTTTGTTTTTTTTATGTTGCGATTTTACGATTTTACGACACTCAATCAAGGTGACAGCCGAGCGTGTAAAGGGTTGGGTAGACCTTTTTGAACCTTTGAACAATCAAAGTACCCGTATGAACGAGGTGAAATAATGAAGGTTTTCAGCTTAAACAAATCTACTTCAACATTATCAGTGAACTGCCACTGAACGAAACTTATATGCTTTGCATTATAGGCCACTAACCTTCGTGCTCTTTAGTCTTTATCGCGTCGGACTATTTGTTTGCGCGTAAGGCCTGTTCTTAGTTACACCAGCCGGTAAATATCTACGAAGTAAAGAGGAAATCCCCTAGAGAGGGTTTTGCAAGAAGATGGTGCAAGATAATAATTATAAAATTATATAGGTAAATAAAAAAGTGGGACGATCTTCACAGTTGTCAACTATTGTAAGCATACTTTGTTTGTTGAATATTAAACAAAATCTCAGCTTCGACCAGATTGGATTGGCATTTCTGTCATAAAAATCCCCCATGATAAAAAAGTAGGCCTATTTATGAGTAACATTTGATTTGCGCTGCAATATCTTGTAACGCAGTTGTCTCAAATGGAGCAAAAATTTACCATAAGCTCTCTAACCGAGTGTTTGGTCAACTTAGCATCAACAACAGTGGCAATATTAACAGTCAGCGTCTCCTATGCTCTTGGTAGTAGGCCTATCAGCTGTTGCTGCGTTAAACGATATGCCGATGCCTTTTTGAGGTCGTCGACGGCACATAGAACCTGGTACACTCGTATTAACACTTTGGGGGAACTTTATCAAAACGTGTCAGATATTGTTGAGGCACATTCGAGACAGTCTGAGAGACAAAGGGGCACGGTGATCATTGTGAACGGACACGACTGCAGAGATGAAGTGGTCAGTGTTGGAACAGAAGAGATGCCTCGGACAGCTTTTATAGATCAGTTGGTGAAGACATTGATGATTGGTCGCACATCTGGTGCCATTTGGATTATTTTTGCCATTTGTCACGGCCACCATGGGGTGGAGCAGAGGGCCACTGAACCCAAGGACTTGGCGTCCAAAGACATAATAGTGACCTTAAATGAAACAGATGACAGCGATGAAAAGCCATATTCAGTGAGGTGTCTAGAAGATGATGTTGGTCTGGGCTGGTCGCAGATGGACCAAGAACAGCAGCAAGAAAACCACGAAAATCAAGAAAGTTTTGTTGAAGCGGCCCATGGATTTGAAGTGGGACTTTTACCTTAATTATTTTTTACATGTATTGGAATGAATCATCATCATGCCATTATTAATCAGCAGTCAGAATGAAGTGCATTTTCTATTTAGAGTTCGGTATTTCCGGTAATTCCCAATTTAGCAAGGATGTGTTGTATTAAAGATGGACCAAAATGTGCCAAGAATCACAAGAAGAATAACACGAAGATCGACGAAGTTTTGTAAAATCGGCCCATGAAATTAAAGTAGGGCATTGACCACGAAAGCTTTTTATTGATATATAGCCCTTGTTTACCGTCATTGGTCCAAAGTCAGAATAGTATCTATAGTATATCTGGAAATCCCCAATTTCGGAAGGGCGCGAATGAATATCAATCTTTGAAAATCAAGCAAGCCAATCAAAAGTTATCAAATTTCAAGAATGCTAGTCGGCCAAGCAAGCATATGTACATGTAACAGTGGAAGCCAAAAGTGTCACCTAATTGCCCAATCAATTAAACAAAATTGGCATAACTTTTGAATGGAGTAAAATATCCATTTGAAATTTTTCGGAAAGTTACACTATGCCAAGAAGAATCTGACAAGATACAATTTTTTTGTAATTTATCCATTATTTCCATGGCAACCATTGCTAAATATCAAAAGCGATCGATACTATCCCTGTGGGAAGTCTCACTTGATTACTGTCAGCCTAGCCGGCTTAATCGACCGTCCCGCCTACTGAAAGATGTAAGGGGGTAATTAACTTTCGTGTCCGCCCGGCTGACAGCTATTTAACGTGAACCCCCAGGGAGTTAGGTCGATCTAAAGTAGATCGATCTAATCTCTGGAAATGGGGTCTTAAATGCGGGTCACAACGTGCGGCCAAATGTAGCGAGATTACACTACGTCGTGCAAGCTGTGTGACATATTTACATAAACAATATGAATACACAACACTTTTGAAGAACTTAGCAACGTACGTGAAGCCTTATTCTAACTAGTTTGATTTTATTTTTGACTAGGTGTACATGTATATACTAGAAAAATTGTACATGTTCTATCCTGTCCTAACCTTACCCAGCGACCTATTATTAATATTATTAATAATATTAATAATATTGATATTATTAATATTATTAACTAGTACTTACCGGACTTTTCGGGTTTTGACGCCTGTCCTACTCTTTTATAGATAATAGCCACAGACAAGGCGGGGGGAACAATAACCCGTACAACAACTAATACCAAAAATGGCAGCGGAAGTCCTCGTGGTTACAGCTTTGATTTGTTTCCTGAAGCCGATTTAATTCAAAAGTATCTCTGTAGCTTCTGTGATTTGGTGTTACGGAGGCCTGTGCAGAGTCACTGTGGACACCGATACTGTGCAGATTGTTTTGAGTATGTAATCAGGTACGTTATTTTGCTATTACTTTTCAGATGATAAATGTTAATCTATTAAGATACTCAAACAAGGAGTTTAAACGCAGATGAAATTGGTAACCTACTTATGGGATTATGGGAGCAAAGTCTACATAGAAGATAAGATAACCTGTATTTTTCAACTGTTTGGTATTCAAAAACCGTGCTAAATTGTTCTTGGGCCGCTTAGATTTAAATATGGAAATATATCTTCCTTTCGTTCATATTCTAAACTGAAATTAATAAGCCTATGTTATATGTATGGTTTTGTTCTTGCAGCTTGGACGATCCAGTCTGTAAACCATGCGAAGATGATGGAGATAAGGTGTACATTACGCAGTCGAAGGTAATGAAGATAACAAGAAGTACACTCTGACCAGTTTATTTTTGTTTAACTACCCTCTACCAGGGTAACAGGGAGATTATTTTTGTCTCTAGCTCAGGCCTCATAAACAATAATTGCTGTATGGTACCATGAGCCTTTGGTTTGTGAGTAATTTAATTTAAATTTTAATTAAAATTACCCCAACATAGAATTAGTAGACACGAATACAGTGTCATAACGGCTCGTGTGTCGTAACGCTGTGGTCGTGGCTTATAATTTTACATTGGGGTACTTGATTCGTAGCCTGAGTCGTAAATTTGGGCGTTCGTGCCCACAACTCTGAGGTTGGAGTTCGCAAATGCTCATCCGTTATAAGGCCTGTAGCTAAAACTGTGCGCTTTTCAATACTGAAAACTAACGAGTAAATAAAATGTTTTGCAAACAATGTTGGCTAAATTGGTTTAGACCTTTAAGAGTTCTCATATTGATCTAAGTGTTGCATTCAGCGATAAAAAGAGTCTTTGTTAACTTATATCAAGGGTATAGCGTTGACATATCGTAGAAAGAAAAATGAATGGAAAATAGGAAGCATTAGGACAAAAACACTTTAAGTATTATAAGGAATTTGATTCCAAACATTTTCACTTTATATATAATCATGTAAAGGATTTTGATAATGATTATTTTCACTTGTTTTTCATATATCCAAAATGCCATTTAGCAATTCCCTGACGTTGCAATAAGAAGAGAGTTGGAAAGAAAACTAATTGTGGTTTGTAAAAATCAAGGATGTGAATGGAAAGGAAAATTTGGAAACTACGTCGAGGTAACTGTTACACTGTAGCTATTGTAATCTTCTTTAAGCTTGTGTTACCTAAAAAAACAGACCTACAGAAGTTCTCCCTTAATTTTTCCACAATCAACATAAAACACCGCATAATATTTCAAGACCACAAAAAAAAAAAAAAAAAAAAAAAAAACTGAAGTGTTGGAAACAACAGTGATTGTTGGTTACCGAGATGAGCACTAAAATCCAGGGTGTATCTTTGTTGAATTAAGATAACCGTTGCTATTCACTAGAATAATCTGTTTGTAAGGCAAGCATTAGTGGAGTACTCAAACCTTTTGAACAAAATTGCCGTTTGTTACTTAAAACCACAAAATTGTGATTGTAAGCGACCTAAACAGCGATTTCACAGTGCAATAGGAAAAATACTTGTTGCTAGCATCGCAATGTATTTTACTATTTTATTTTGGTACGAATGCACTTTTCACAATGACATTGACGTATTTAAATTACGATAACAATTTGCGAACAGATGTTTAATGTATTCAGTAGGGTTAGTTCATTAGGTAGTGGATGATTCAGGAAACAGTTTTATTATTGTTGCATATTGTTTTATGATGAGGCAAATTCTTTATTATATATATATATATATCATTGGACAAAATATTTGAATTATTCATTTTTTTTTGGGGGGGGGGTGCACTTTTTTTTTTTTTTTTTTTTTTTTTTTTTTTTTTTTTTTTTTTTTTTTTTTTTTTTTTTTTTTTTTTTTTTTTTTTTTTTTTTTTGGGTATCTACTCCGTAAGATTTCTAAATCATGTGCTCTTATTCTGAATTTTGCAAAATTTTATGTCGTATTTTGGTATTGGGGCTGTCGTGTATAACTGCAAACCGTAAGTCCTCTCACCTTCCAGTTCCGCACGTTCTGTGTGTACTATATTAATAATTCGGCAATCGCAGTCACATACCCACGGCTTGAAGTGACAAATGCAATTATATTTTTGATCTGGCCTGGGACTGGCACAGAAAGATTTTTTTGAATGATTTACTTTTAATTTAATGTAGGATCACGAAAATTCATGTCCTTTCCGCGTGTCCAGCTGCCCCAATAATTGTGGGCAACAGCTACCCTGGAACCAAGTGGACAAGCACTTGAAGGACAAATGCCCATTGAGAACTGTTAAATGTCGCTACTGTCCCAGGTCATTCATCGCTAACAGAAACAAGGTAATAGTGGAGGGCTCTGGGAGAACAGAGGCTCGGAGCAAACTTTCTGACTTTTAACTCGGACATTATGGCATCCATGTAGAGTAGCTTAAATATTTTTAGTAAGAATTTTAATAACATAACTTTTAGGGAGTTATTATATTGATTTAGAACAAACATTTTATCATAATTTTCATTCTGTTTTTCTGTTGGCCAGGAACATAATGGAACGTGCCCCAAATTCCCTATTCGCTGCGACATGTGCGACAGTCTCATAAAAAAATTACCGAGAGATCAGGTTAATGTTTCTTGTTTTAAAGTGCAATAGAAAAACATATCTCAGGTAACAGAGAACGTTATTATAACGTTACCATAACGTAATCTTATGTTTATGTATATATTTGTTGGGGTAACGTTGTAATAACGTTCTGAGTTACCTGGGATGCATTCAGTCCTATACTTAACCATGGACATACTGAGAGAAGGCCTTCTCTCATTATGTCCATGACTTAACCGAACTAACTGTCAGCAGGTACGTGTAAGACTATGATACAATTACCACAAACAGCTTTGGTTTGATTTCGTGTAATGCTAAAATAATTTCTATATTTAATGTACATTTTAACGCTGTTATATTTCGGCCATATATTTATATACTGCTCATTTAATTGTCGACAAAAACACGCTTTTAATAGCTTAATGAAAATAATCTTTTTCGTGTTCATGTTAGATTTTGAGACACCAGCGAACCAACTGTCCCAAAGACAAGATGGTATGCCAGTATGGATGTCAAAACAAGGTATGTGCTTGTAATAAAATAGTTCTACGGTACAATTTATGACTTGACAGTTTTCGTAGTTTTCTCTGACATTTATCGGGATTAACAAAACCAGATTTTACTGGGGAACATTTCTGGCACAAAAATAATCCCTTGTTGTTGACCCACAAAATTGACCATTTTCCAGGTTTTTTTTCTATTAATGTCGACATTTCATTTTGATCCTTAAATCAAAATGAATATGTTAACATGGTACCTGATAAAGTATATGTTAGCGTGCAATGTTATTTATAGTTCTCCGTTAATCAAGCACACCAACATAATGAAGAAAACGTTCTGAAACACCTCGACTTCATGCGGGAGAGGGTCAGATCTCTCCTGGAGGAAACCGAACAGAAGCAACACGACAGATACGACAGAAATATGGGCAACTTGAAGCGACGGCTCTCTTCCTTACAGCGTGATGTTGACAACTTGGAAAGCCAAACACAAGAGGTTAATACAAGAGTAGATTCACTGACGAGCAAAAAAAAGGACCAAGAGGCAACAGTCTCCGAATCTGTTCGAAAAGACCTTGAAGCTCTGAAACTGAGGGAAGGTGTGATGGAAAGTAAGTCTGGTACTTTTGAGGGAATCATTGCTGTTTTGAACAGAGAGATCGAGAAATGCGCCTCACTCTTGGAAGAATACGACCGACAAATGCGTCTTGACCGGGAAGCTCTGACCAATGCTGAAAGAAAATGCAAATCCTTCGAACGCGCCCTTGCTCTAAGAGATGTCAGTATGGCGGAACAGGACCTCCGCATCCAAGCCCTAGAGACCGCCAGCTATGATGGTGTCATGGTCTGGAAGATCGCCGACTTTTCTAAGAAACACCACGATGCCATCACTGGCCGCCTGACCAGTTTCTACTCCCCTGCGTTCTACACCGACCCGCACGGCTACAAGATGTGCTGCCGAATTTATCTCAATGGCGACGGAATGGGGAAAGGCAGTCACATCAGCCTCTTCTTTGTCGTCATGCGAGGATATTACGACGCTCTGCTCGCGTGGCCATTTAAACAAAAAGTCACCCTCATGATCCTTGACCAGAGCAATCGTGAACATGTGGTGGAAGCGTTCAGACCAGACTCTGCCAGCTCCAGCTTCAAGAAGCCGACTTCAGATATGAATATTGCAAGTGGCTGCCCGTTGTTTCTGTCGCTGGAAAGGCTTGGTGGGTCCAACACGGCTTATGTGAAAGATAACGCGATGTTTGTGAAGGTCGTGGTGGACTGCACAAATATCTAAATCAAAGATTTTTTGTAAACGTTAGTATTCCAAATTAATGCAAAAAGTGCAACGTGATATTTCGCATTTTTTTCGAAAGTTGGGGTTTTGTTTAACACCTTATTGTTCCATTTAAATATTTTCGCTCATTCATTTTCCAATTCTTAATCAACTTATTACTCATTGAGAAATATTCAAAAATGAAGATGCTTCCTGGTAGAAATTACAAATATATTACGGTCAGTTGAAAAATAGTTATATTTAAATATTTATTCGTGTAAATAAAAGTAATTTTAGTCCATGGACTTTCAGTAATAAATGAAAAATAATTGTCTCAAAGCGACAATACTTGTACAACACTTTCAGTCTTACTATAAACATACTTAATATAGATCTATTAATACACTGCATTTTTCATAATATACTTTTCCTAACCAAAAAATAATGGATGTTCAAGCTATTCAGTCAGAAGACTTCTTCGAAAAGATTATAATGGAATAGTTAACATGGGCTCCTTTAAAGTGGTCCTAGAGAGAAAGACTGGACAAAAATTATATGTGAATGGCTGAAAATCCATGGACTGACTATATGGGCATCATAGCTAATGTCATTCTGCTTGTTTCTAAGGAAAAACAATATCTGTATTACATGTAACCTAATTGGATATGCAAATTAAAGTGCGAGTAAAGCAATCAGTTTCAATTACATGTAAAGTGCTTGTTCAAGACGTGCTTTCTCTGTGCATTACAGTATTACACTATTACACTCTGTGCATTACACTTCAAATGATGCTGTGTAAGTCAGATATTGACAAAAAAATATGATGACAAAAAGCTAACACTTTACTTTTTCATCAATGGATTTTACGGTGACAGTGGTAAAAGATGGGCCAGATAACCTTAGGATTACTGTCCGAAAGATAACAAATTTATGGAATAGACACTGTTATTCATAGGATGGCACGATCAGGTTTTTTAAATGAATTTGCCATTTCGGTAAGCAGATTAATGGTATGCGGTTTGTAGCATTGTGCTCTTGAATAGATCAAAAGTAGTTTGGCAGGTGTAGTGGTGTTTCCATCCCATTCCTTGTGGGGAAAAGGGCGTGTCATAGGCACAAAGTGCACTTAGGTGAGAGGGCTCCGATTTGAACTACATGTAGGTCTAACTTGCATCATGAGAATACCAGGTTAAGGCTTTTATTTTTATTTATTTATTTTTTTGCCAAAAAAAAAAAGATTTTTTTGCAACAAAATGATTCCTTATATTTATTCCACTCACTTTACATTGATTCCAAAAGATTTTATAACAGCCAGTGATGATAAATGATGATAAAATATCATTTAAAGTTGTCCCTGGGATCCATTTTGTCCACTATGTGACGCAAGTTGGACCTAATGCTTGTCTGAATTATTACTGGTGTGAATGCAGTATGGTACATTTTAGGATGTTAATGAAACCGTTTAGAAGTTAAAAAGCGGGCAGAAATAATGCCTTTAACATTATATTTGACATCAAAAGTTATTAGACAGCCTCAGACCCAGAAGTAGTCAACAACACTAACTTTTTTGACCATGTTGTCTACAGCTGAGCTGGGCTCTGTATCTCGAAAGGTTGGCTATGTTGCGCATGTGCCTCGATTCCATAACCGATTCTATTTCTAGATACGGTGCCATGGAATCAAGACGCTTGAGCACGTGCGCAAGTGTCTCGATTCCATGGCCCCGTATCTCGAAATAGAATCGGTTGTGGAATCAAGACACTTGTGCAGGTGCGCAACATAGCCAACCTTTTGAGATACAGAGCCCTGATGTCTCTGATCACTAGTGACTATAGTGACTACAACAAAGCAATGATAAACATCATTTTGGAAACTGTTTTACTCTTATCTCTATGAACTAAGTTTGAGGGAATTTAAAAGGTAATTAATATTCATTGGTTCTTGTAACACATATATATTTTTCTGGGAAAACTTTAGTCAGTATCTTGCTTTTTATAAAGTACAAAGATACTTAGGTATATGTGGTAGAGTTGTCAATCATATTCTTACTTTGTATTATTTGATCATTTACTAAACTTAAGGTGGTGATTTTATTATTTTTGAAATATAATTCTTTTATAATTAAGAAAATTATACTTGCATAAATTTTTCTGATGGAAGTTATCTTGGGTGCCACAGTAGCATTGTCATCATGTTGAAAAATTTAATTTTTTTCAATTTCTACACAAACTTTTGAGTGTTGACAAGAACACTTTCATCAAAGCACACTTTGGGAAGTCTATGAAGAAATTGAAAAGTTTAAAGTTGTTCAACATTAGTTATTCTAATGGTATATGGAAGGGATGCACATCTGAAATGTCTGTAATAATTCTCACTATTGTACTGGCCTTGCTATTATTAGATGTGGTTAATAAAATCCTCAATAGATGTATGTGGTAAATAAAATGCTTGCTAGGAGATTTTTACATTGTCAGTTCATTCAAGCTTGGAAGTGCAGGGGCATGATAACTTGACCTCCTTAAAAAGAAGAATGTAAAATGTAAGGAACTTTTAAGGTAAATGATATTCTGAATTCTGGAGTTGTGCCATTCTGTGCATGTAACTATTGAGTTTTGTTTAACATGGGAGCAATCCTGTCAAATAGCAATTGTGATACATTTATTCATTCAGCTTCTGAAAACTTTTTAACAATTTCAATTTAAAAACTTAGCACCAAAAAATAAATAAATAAATAAATAAATAAATAAAATAAAATAATAAAAATCAAGCCAGCAATGTCCATAAATAAGTTATACAGAACAAAAGTACAGGTCCCAACACTCATTATGAAACTGGCCCCACATTCCAGAGTGCCAAAGTAAATAGCAGAAAAATAACTGAAAATTACATTGTAGACTACCAAAATAAATAGCAAAAATGACTGAAAATAACAATGTGGTACTGGATTTATCAAATTTAAGTATGAGAACAGTTGTCAACATTATGAATTCATGCATATTTTTTCTTTTGGCTATCAATATTCTTTATTTTCAGGCTGAAAAATAATCGATTAACAGAAGCTGTACACAATTTGAAACTTAAATGTCAACAAGATCATATTTAGTGAATAATCCAGCAGATTTCATCATTGTCATCTACATCACCATAGTGCTAACTGCTTCCAGGACCAGAGGCAGATTTTTTTTTCACTAGATTTTCACAGATTTTTTTTCTGGCTAATTCTGTGCAAAATTCTGTACAGTGTCCAGTGAGAATTTTCACTCAGAATTTCAGAAATGATGGCAAGTTATGAACTGTCAATTCAGATTAATTTAACCCCATTATAAGACCTTCCTCAGCTCTCTAACAGCGGGTTAGAAAACATCATATCCAGTACATCACTTGGTTTCAACAGCTTTGTACTGCCAACAATAACCTACAAGAAAATAAACTGTAGAAATGTTTTGTGTACACCATACAGTAAAACTGTTTTCAGGTTGTCGCAAAAAGAATCACATTTGCTGCAAATTTGTAGTAAGATTAAAAGTTTGGGGGAAGTTTGCAAGAAAGTCTTCAGGCCTCATTTGCAGTGTAAATATTGTTCTTGCAGATTTGCAGCGAATTTTCTGCAAACTTCAAATTAAAACCAAGAGATGACATTTCTTCTCTTCTTTTCATGAAACCTACCCAAAGTGATTGCTAAATGAAGGTCATCACATTAAAAAATCACTTGTATTATCTCACTTACCTGAGTTCCAGTCTTGTACGAGGTCACAGTGTCCTTGATTAATTTCACCTCTGATGCAGTGACGCCCCCTATAATGAACAGGATCAGCAGGGGGCTGTTGCTGGGACGGGGTTTGCTCACATTCATAAACAGGCTGAAACATGAGGAAAGGCAACTTTTTACACAGCAGAACTGACTACTGAAATAAAATATGTTGTTGGTTTTTATACAGATGGAATATCAAAAAAAATTAGATAAAAGGATAAAAATTGAATTATTTGTAAAACATAAAATAATTCCTTAATAGTATCAAGGATTTTCAATACAACTATTCGTAGCATAAAATAATCCCTTCATAGTATCAATGAGTTTCAATACATTCTGTATTTGTGTATTGAAAAATATGTAAAAGACAAAGACAGATGGATAGATGGACAGACAGTCACTGACAGACAGACAGACAAACAGTGAGTCATACACACTGAGACTCAAACATACCCAAACCCAGACTTGAGCAGATCCTTGAGTCCACTAGACTTGTGTTCTATGTCCAGCAGGTCAGGCTTGGCTGGGTTAAAGATCTCCTGGAGCACCTGTTTTAACACTGGGACATGGGAGGCTTGGGATGTCAGACTACCTGAGTTGTACACAGTCCTGGAGTATATAGGCCAGATACATGCATATATTTATATTCTAATGAATGAAGTATAATTGCTAGGTTGAACATATTTATGTTCAATATAAAGCATTACTGTTGGCTAATAACTCATGACAAACACTTTAATTTGATTTTTGGTAAAAGCAAATATGTATAAATCAAATTGCCCAAAGTGCATGTCTTATTTTCTATCAGAAAGCCTACCAAAAGTTAAGTGACTGATTTCTAACTTACCTGAATTGTTTTAAGTCATCTCTACAAGCTCCCAGACTCCTCAGTTTCTCAAACACCTGTTCTATGGCTTTAGTGACACCATTAGCTGTGACAGGGTCTCCAACTGAAACATCACATGGTATCAGCATGTATGCCTTACTACTATGATATGAATAACTACAATAACAATATGATAAATGTTAATATAAGTATGAAAACATACATTGCAAGTTCAGAAAATTATATCAAACAAAACTAGAAAAACATCTTGAACACAACTTACTGCTTAAACCTGGCCAGTTGAATATACTAGAATGTACTAGTACAGTTTTAATTTTAGTCTTTTAGATTCAAAAATACATGCAGTCCTCTTACCAAATTCAGTTAATGCTGCGGGAATGTCCTCTTCTTTGCTTGACAGAATGGCTTCTGCCAAAAGACTCTGAAATATATGGCATAAGCTTCCTGACAGTCAAATAATTCACAAGCAAGAATTAAATTTATCGCAAATAATGTCAAAATTAAACCTTAAAGCAATATTAAATTCCAATGCATATGATATCTGATTCATTGGCCATTAGTTTTCCAAGCCCCCTCTGAAAACCCTGAGATAGCATGTATTGTGTGCGGTCATGTGTGTTTTGTGGGTGTTCCTAGCATCAATACACAGCAAACTGTACCATCATTTTCCTTTCTTCATCTTCTGATTCTGCTGCATCCTCTCCAACCAGAGAATACACATATACCAGCAGCAGTAGAATGTCCTCTATTGTATACAACCTGCAACCAAGAAATATATATACATATACATTTCATCACATCTAAAATGAACCACATACATTAAATGCACTGCACAGTATGTTTATGCATAAAATTCTTAGCTAATGTAAATGTCCCATTTATCATCTAACTGAAAATTGCAAGCCCACTGTGGAGACTTCTGCTTGTCTCCTCATGTCTGGGCTCCTGTAAGGTGGCGACACCTACCTCTGATCAGTCTCCTTCTTCATCTCCCTCTCCCACACCTGTATCACCTGGCTCAGGCCGGACACACACTCCTCGTCACCGAGACTCTGCAGTAACATCTTCTCCAGTCCTAGCAAACCTTCCATATTGGAACCGCTCTCTTTTTGCATGGCCTGGATAGTTGCCATAGCAACCTGAAGTAATCCACTGTGTTTCTGTATTGCCTCTGGGTGCCCCCTGAGAGAGATAGAAATGCATGTATTTAATGTTTTTTTTATGACAGACCAGTACGAACAGATATTTATAGTACATCATATTCTGAGAGCATTCATTTTAGATGTTACAGTAGTTAACAGTACATTCTAGCTGAAGTTTCAATGTTTTTTTAACATTATTTTCTTTTTGTTATGTATCTAAGGAGCTGTGACATAAAATACTTGTTATTATTTTGCATCTACTTTAAAAAAAGGTTAATATTGCAAAACCATTACTATATGTACAGTAGCAGTTTTGACTAACTTGAACAGTTTAACATGGCTGTGTAGTTGTTCTACTGTGACTCTACCGGGGCGTCCTGAGAGGCTGAGAGGAAGATGTTCACTGGACGCTGCCTCCACCAGCTGTCTGTTTACCTCCATCAAGGCTTCCTAAAGATAACATACTCTTTTTGATCACCTAAATCCTCTTTTAATTCTTAAAAGCTGTTATTTATATGAATTTCCATTTTTCAATACCAGAAATTTAATCTATAATACATTCTACATGTTAATCTTTTTCAGTTTACCAATATCATTTTAGTTCAATTCAATTATTTGTTTGCAGTAAAAGTTCGTACAAAACATTTTTCTTTTAAAATACTTATTAAAAATATTTATTAAAATATATATCATCTTCAAACTATGTGCATGAAAAAATTTACAAGAGGGAGAACCTTGTGTTTTTTAGTGGCCAGTACATTCCTACATGAAGAATCTGCATGTGCTGTACAACCTGGAGCCAAGACTTCTTCAGCATCACTTGAAAATAACATTACAAATAAAATTATATTAACACATTGAATTTCATCATCTTCTGTGACACAGCCTTGGGCTTCAACACATTAGCAGGCTGAGACTGAAACTGATGAAAAAACTGAGTCACTGAAAGATCTTTACTCTCATGTAAGTTGGAAACAATGATCAACTTTACAGCTAAAAACTCATGCTATTAGTAAATATGTTTGTCCTAGAATGCACTAGTATAAATACTAGTAAGAATGAAGTGTCATTTGACAATAGTTCTACTATTGCAAAGTATTATGTGACTGCAATAACTTACCTTGTAACAGGTTGTGCAGAGCAGATGTCAGCCATACTGACCATGACATCATTATTGTGACCTGGTAACCTAGGCAACAGGGTCAGTATTCTGTCCAATAAGGTTTCCCCTTGGTGACTAACAGCTCCAGCCAGGTCCAGGCTCCTGTCTATACACACTATGGAGGCTCTGCTTTGAGATGTCTGACAAAGAAAAGCGACACATCTAGATTAGATTAAGACTCTCAGAATAAACGTCACAATGTAAAATGAGTATACTGACTTTGTTAGGGCCTCCCCAATTTTTCACTGCATACATTCAAACTAAGCAGTGATCTAATTTGTTTAAAACAATTAAATTGTTTGAAATATGATTAAGTCTTAATAACTGCAAAATCAATTTTTACATCAAATATTATACAATGTGTGCTTATGTTCTCATGAAATACATGAGGAATCAGTACTTTTTCAACCCAGTGTCCCTGGCAACTGGAAATCTCTATGGGCATCTACTCCTAAAAAAAACCTTCTTTACCAGGAAATCACAAGCTTCATGCTAACGTTATGCCAATGTTATTCATGTTTTACCCATGCCCTCCCTCTACCCCCCTCGCCTCCACACGCTCCCTCTATCCCCAACCCCCACCCTCACCCACCTTCCTCCTGTGCCTGGCCCCAGGGTAATTGGCCAGCTCTGTGGCCACCAGTCTGCTGAATGGTCCCACAGAATACGGGTCATCCTGGAGGTGGAGCTCTTCAAACACATCATTCAACGTGGCTGCAAGCATCTGGAAATAATTTCAATTAATGTCATGAATAACATAACATTTCACCATCGTTAGAAATGTACAAAATTTCATTCTTTTTGCTTTCATAAGCCCTTTTGTTTAGTTGTTATGAGAATATTTGAGTTTTTAAAGAATTATTTAAAGGTGTGGCAATATAATAAAATAAATAATTTTCAACCACTGTTTGAAATTATGTTTTATCTATACAAGCTTCACAAAAGCATGGCAGAAAGTATATTCCTCCATCAAGGAACACGCTGCCATACTGATAAAGACTGGTGTGAACTTACTTAATATGCAGTACTTTACACTTACCTTGACTTTCAACTGCAAATGCTTAGGAAGATGGTGAGTTTCTATTTCTGCCAAACTTTCAAAAGATTTCTTGTCCCCCTGTAAAAATGTGTTATAACATAACAATATAGTAAGTATTAATTTAATGCAATGGAGACTTTTGATTTGTCAAGTAAACTTCACATTCACATGTTCAAGAAATCTAAATATACCTTTAATTATCAAAAAGTGTGGTTTGCAACAACACCAAGCACTTGGAAGTGACACTTTTAAAATTTGAAGTATTGTATATTATATATAATATCATACATACCACCCTGGCTTTTGAAGAATTGTAAATGGCCTCCACTCCAGTGACATCTGTAGGCAGAAGAGGGAAGAGTCGTGGGAGTCCTGGCGTTACAAATAGAGATGGACACACACTGACTGTACACACAGGAACATGGAGGACCTCTGCTGTGTAATTCTGAAATATTAACAGGCAAGTTTGTTATTTTAAAGATCACCAGCAGAAGAATAAACACAGTAAAGACTGCAGTAAAATGCTTTGAGACAATGTTTTGTTGCCCAATCATAACTGTTGAACTGTCATATACATTTATTGCATTTTTCTTCATGTGTGAATACTACTTTTAGGAATATAAACATATAACAGGTCTTTGCAATACTTGTCTTAACCCAGGGTATCTACAAAAAAAAAAAAATAAAAAAAAAAACTGTAAGATTTAAGACAACAAAACTCTACAACCAGCCTCTTTGAGTATCTATTTCAACCAGTTAACAGACAGAGGCAAACACAGAGCATCTGTAGCCAGTACCGAGCTCTGCCATGCTGTATATACCATATTTCCCATCCACTCCAGCACCTTCTCTTCAAAACTCTGGAAAACATACTGTTCATCTCCCTCATAGCTACCATGCTTGGCAAACAAATGGACAAGTGGGCCCTGGGTAGTGATGACCACCACATACTGGAACTGGCTGTTCTGTATGATATCTCTTATGATGGTTTCTGTGACATCGCGTAGAGGGGTGCTCACGATAAATACGGCCTTTTTCTCACTGGGCTCTGCACACTAATAAGAAAAAGGATATAGCTCATACAGTGCTGTATTTTGGTAACTCGTTAATAATTATTCTGCATTAGAATTTCTATTAGCTAGGCAAAAACGAGATGGTTAATTGGGGGTGATGGCTTTTGTGATACCTTAAAATTAAAATTCAGAGGAAGAAATAAAACAATCAACTTGTATTTGATGCATGTTGCACCCAGAACAAAACTTGTGGTTTCTTACACACAGCATGCCCAATAAAGATGTACCTTTAGGAATTGTAACCATTCACCATCAATATCATATCACACTACAACTGTACAGAACCAAAAATCATTTAAAAACCACTCACCTCAAAGGAAGAAAACTCTTTAACATTAAGTGCTCCAGCATTTACAAGTCTCATCAGTCCCCCGTTCCAGTGCAGACTCTCAGCGCAGGCATCATCCACAAACACCACAGCTCTCCTCACCTTGTCACACACCTTAGTCCAGGTGTGAAACGCTACCTGGCCCACGTCAACACTGGTCATCTTACACCTGCCCTTTACCACTTAATACGTGGTTGTGTAGATTACTTATACCTGTTGAAACAGAAACGGATTTTGTCATGTCCTTGAGTAGGGGGGGGGGGGGGGATCTTGTTTCAGTTTAATGCCTTACCAGTACATGCTATGCAAGTAGGACCTCACTTCACCCTGTGTTGCAAACTGTTAACAGATGTGACGATACTTATGCACCGCACGTAAGGCAGAAAACTGAGTTAATGAGTGCCAAGTAAGACCTAAAGTTAAAGGGATAATAACTCTTCGTATGAGATCTATATTTCACAGTAAAAACATTGTGAATAACTCAAAGAAATATAATATATTCTGTTTTACCACAAAAACGGCAGTTATAGCTATTATTCTGGTATCTGAGCTTGTCTTTAGACCACGTTACCTCCATTGATGGCTATACTTTGTTAAAATCTCTTAAGAGATTTTAACAAAAAACCAAACTTTTTAGAAAAAAAACCAGGGACTAACTTTGAATGTAAAAATGGATTCATTAACCATTGGTAAGTTTGGGGAAATTGTTGTTTACTCCAGGAAAATTCATTTTTTGTCCAAAACAAAGAGTTATTATCCCTTTAAACGAGCTGAAACCTAGTCAAGGGTCTAGCAAGATAAACATGACGTCAAAAATAACAGAAGATAATGTACATATGAAATTAAAAAGCAAGGAGGGAATGCTCGATATATATTGTCATATAACTGACGTGTAATATAACTTTACCAGGTAGGAAATTCAAACACAGACAATGTTCTTGACTGCAAAAACATCACGGATTCTAGACTGCTGCTCGTCTTGCCACATATTTTATTAATAGCTTACGCGCGAAAAGGGTTACAGATGATCAAACAGTCATCTGTAAATATTAGAATAAAGGACAATTATTACGATGAAAAATAATAAAAATAGACATAGTAATCTTTTTATAGAGTACTTGGTGAATTAAGAACGTTTTCAACGTGAAACAAATAATTTATATCCAATAAATTTATCGACGCTATACTTGCACTAGACTCTACAATAACACAAGAGGGAAAGCGGATCTCTTTGAACAGCAGGTTGGTTTCGTTCTTGGATAAACGGCACTTTGTCCGCTTTGGACTAAACGATACACTTTTTCGGTGCTTTAAATGTGCATGTGTTCATATTATTAGTGTCATGTTACAGTTTCATGTCAGCAAGTAATGAGAAATGGGAATTTAACGATAAATCTGAATCCTGTGTGCTGTACAATGTACATGTACATGTAGTCTAGTGAAGTGAAGGCGGCGGCTTTGCACACTTCACAATGTTAAGTAAATGCAGATCCTGGTAACGCAGTTTGACATGCACTGCGCACATGGCGCAGTCCGTTCAGTATGTGTGTGTGTGTGTGTGTGCGCGTCCACGTGTGTGCTAAAAAAGGTGCTGATATACACTGCCTTAATCATTTATTTTTGCAACTACATGTACCACTATTTATTTTATCAGTATTTCTACTGTAGTTTAGAAAGCATCTCAGGATGCATGGGTCAGGATTTCAATTTGGTCCAGTGACTGCATCCCTTGCTGGACCCTCCCCCAGTACACCCCCCCCCCCCACACACACACACACACGCACACACACATGCACTAAAATGCTTGTAAGATTTCATTTTCCCACAGGTTATATAAGTCTTTCAGGAAGAGAAAGGTTACCTGTACCCTGAGAGCATGACTGCATTTAGTCTATAGCTACTCTGATTTTGAATCTTGAGGACAATAGATAAGGATCTGCTCCAGGTGAGGGGGCTGATTGAACAAAGGAGATGTTATTCCACGTTTGCCTGAAAGATAGGCTTAGTGCATATGTCTAAAAGGAGGAGATCATTACTAGTAAACCACTTCTGAACATAAACGAAATTTCTAATGAAAGCCACAGTAGGATGATGGGCTTGGTCACCTTTCAGTTTTATATAGAGATTTTAGATTGCACAAGAAATGTCTTGTGTTTAAAATTTTGTGGTAATTTCATTTGCATCTTACTTATAAATGATGCATTTATATGAACATCATTACATCATCTTTTTTCTGGTTCTTGTACAGTATACTGAAGGGAGAGAACCTAGAGTAGTTAGTGACTTTAATAGGCAATCTCCATTGAATTTGGCTAGTATTTAGGATGTCATTTATCTTTAATAATTTCTTTATTTATTTTAGTAAACCGATAACATTATTTATTAATAAAAATATCAATTCAGGATTTCTTTAATATGTAGACTGCACTCACTCTGTTTAAATAAATATTTTAGCTGTAACTGCAGAAAGCAAATGGTTTGATAGTCGGTCATGTAGTCGCTCATTAAGTTAGTATCACAGCGAATGCTTGGTTGGAATACAGATTGATCACAAAGAGTTGAGAACAGTTTTAATAGCATTTAAGTCTTGGATTTAACCACAAAACACATTGCGTCAAGACCTCTGAAAGCAGCCTTAAAGTCACATGAGGACACAGCATACATTTCCTACTCTGATTAAAAATTAATTGACAGGAAAAACAGGTTGAATACTTATGCACTGAGGCTGACTGTATGTGCTTTAATGTTAATAATTGATTAAAGTATGATATATTATATGAAATGACAAGGTAGAGTTATGAGCAAGGCAAGTGATTTTGAAGGCTGGGGGTGTCATGGGAGAAGTTTCATAAAGGTGGTTGTCATAATTAAGGGACCGGGGGGGGGGGGGTGTCATAAGAGAGGGGTGTTAAGGAGGTGTTTCATAAGGAAAGGGTTTCATTATGGTAAAGGAGGGGTATCCTAAGGAGAATTTTTTGAGGGGGCATTGTCAAGAAAAGGGGTATTAATGGCATGAAATATGTTAGTATTGTGGGGATTGAATTTTTAAATTGAAAAAAATGTTTACTCAAAGAAGGTAAAACCAGAACATCATACCAGGTTCTTAAAAATTTATTTTATTTGCAAAGCATTGCCGAACATTATTATCCAGGGCATGTCTAATGGTCTAATGAGAACACTAGTATAAATCCATCCTGAGAAGTGCACCTGCATAAAGTACGACCTTGATGTCCCTTGCTGTGAAAGTGGAGGGATCGTGGTGACTTTCCATTACCTTAAGGCACCTATTTGTGTTATAATTGCTATCCTGACCTCAGACTGTCTGCCTTTAATCCCTTCCAGCTACTGCCAGACAGAGAACCTTGGAGCTGTGATATCAGATACAAGTACATGTATCCTGACCTTGGCTGAGATATCAGGGATGCTAACCTTGACTAGGAGTGTGTTTTCTCAGAGAGATCATAGAAGACTGGTTGTTCCCAGTTGACTTTGATGTCTGATTAAAATATGAGCTGCCCAAAATGGTTTCCTCTCAGGAAATGATTATGTTCAATTAACTGGATGTTAATTGATTTCTAATATGCCTTGGTTGTATGAGTTAAGTTTAACTGAGGTGTCTCAGGTACTTTGATAATACACTGGGACAAAATGAGTTAAAGTGGAAGATGGGTGTGTTAGCATGGTCCAAAAGTTTATGTAGGGAGAAACCTACATGCTCTCTTTTGGCTCTTCTCTGGTTGAGAATTTGTACGGTACATACAAACAAAGAAAATAAAGTGTAATTCTTAATGTACATTCTTTACATTTGAACAGGTGACTTTACCATTTAGGGAGATGCCAGTTCCAAGTTGTCCATGTAGGTTCAGATCAGATGTATGCAATGTACTCAAGTGCCCTGCTGCTGGGCTGGTGATTAGATAATTAAAACTTGGATTTATAAAATGTTTTATTCATCAAAGATTAATGATACATATAGAAAGCTTATTAAAATCTTGGTTCCCATGTGAGTGCACGTCAAGGCCAAATTTATCAGCATGTCTAGGGCTGTATTCCCAGAGCTTTTAGATCGATCTATCCCCACGGGGAGTCTCACTAGATTAACTTTCGTGCCCGCTCGCCTGACAGCTATTTAGCGTGAACCCCCAGGGATTCAGGTCGATCTAAAGTAGATCGATCTAATCTCTGGGAATGGGGTCTAGATCTCACTCAGTTAGGCCAAGGTGACTGAATGAAAACATTTGATTAATCTGATGAAGGAGTCTTCAGGTATCCAGAAATATAGAGAATCTTCTTTTAAAGCAGGAGATGAAAACGACAGGGTTATTAGATGCTTGTAATGATCTGGACTAGGATTTTCAACCCTGGGCTGTAGTGTCTGTTGAAGGAGGTACTACATGCATGGTGGAAGAGCATTGTTGCTGGGAGTACTCTGAATCTCAGGGAGACAGAGAAAGGTGAAATTTTCAGGTTCAGATATACATGTACCAAAAATATGTAAGTTGTCAAATTAGGTATACCAAAATGTGCATCTAAGATATGTAGTCTAATGATTATGAAGAGAACTACCAAATAAAATTAGTAATTAAAACTTAACATTCAAATTATCCTCCAAAGGGGCTCCAAAATAATTATTTTGAAGATCAAAATATGAGAGGTATGATGAGGGCGGGTATAATTTTCAATAGTGATAACAATTATTTCAGTGTGGGACCATGTTTCACATTGAGTGCCTTCTTTGGAGATTAATAACACCTTTGCATGTATACACCCTTACGAAAATTTCCTATAGGATTTCCTATAGGATTTCCTATAAGATTTCCTATAGGATCCTATAAGATTTCCTATAAGATATCCTATAGGATCCTATAGGAATTCCTATAGGATCCTATAGGAAATTGTCCCTTTTTCCTATAGGATCCTATAGGAAATCTTATAGGATCCTATAGGAATTCCTATAGGATCCTATAGGAAATCTTATAGGAATTCCTATAGGATC